TCCTGCGGCATCAGAAACACGGCCTGAAATTCCACTTAAACATTGTAGAAAATCAAGAGACCAGATTAAACTGTAAAAAGGTGATGGCATTTCTTGTTAAAATTGAACGTGCTTTGCTTGGGGTCATTTCTAGTGAATATTGTGCTCATAGGCATGTTAGAAAAATACTGACTATTTTGAGCCTTTAGCACCTCCCATAGATGCGAACCTACTTTATTTAGACAGGAGGTGGAAACTTTCGGTCTGGCTCTGCAGGCTTCACACTGAACTCTGTTGCTTCTACCGTATTCACTTACACTCGCCAGTTTCAAAGACCTTCAGCCAAAACTCATTGAACTGGCTGGAAAAACTCTCCTTGACTTGAGGTCAAGCTCTAGTCACCGACGGTTTTCAGTGACTAACAGTATGTCTGCACCACAGTCCCAGTGCGGCTGAAGCTTGTGCGAACGCCGTAGAGCTGAGAGTAGCATAGACACGGCAAGATGGTGTTCAGTAAGGGCCTCCCTTCAGGAATGAACCACTGCAAAATGGTCTACGTCACCTGAAAAGGCTGATGTTAAAGATCAGCTGAGGGAGATGTAAGAAAGCACTGAGCGCTGGTGCGAGCAGGAACGGCGGGCACTCCCACACCCTCTCAGGACAGCCCGGGCTGCCGTTCCTCCTGACAGGGGCTCTGCCTGGCTCCTCACAGCCCTGCAGCAAGAAAACAAATAGCAGTGTCTCAGGCGAGCTGTATACCCCCTTAATAACAGGGTGTTTTGTTAACAGGTGAAAAGCCTTTCAGTTGCCGGTGGCCCAGCTGTCAAAAAAAATTTGCCAGGTCTGATGAATTAGTTCGTCATCACAACATGCACCAGAGGAACATGACTAAGCTGCAGTTGGCCCTTTAGACAGTGCAAACAAGTGAATAAACCAGATGGGACATTATGAGCTACTGCAAACTTTATCAGCCATCTTCGATCACCTCTGTCAGAAAGCTGCAGCTGTCTTCGCATCCCATTTGACACAAGTTAACTAAACCGTAGGATTCTGCTCAGCCTTGTCTTCCGTTTGGACTTACACAAGTTCCTATTCAATAAGTTCAAGAGCTTTTTATTTGTAATTTTGTTAAAAAGCAAGCAAGATTGCCAGAGTTTCAAGATTACTGTAGACTGTGGTTGCCTTCCACGTCTGTCTCCAGTTTCCTGGTTTTATTTTCACTAAACCTTTTCTAGGTACATATTGTACCTTTTTAAGTCCTGCAGTGGGTAGGGTGATTCCTCCCTGACGAAGGTAAGCTTTACGCTTACCGCATCTGTGCATATGCCGAGGTTTCCAAATGCTGGTACAGCTATCCTCGCAAAATGAGATGGAACGATCACCTGAGATACTTTTGGTAAACTTTGTACTCGTCCTGCCAAAGGGCAAGCTTTTAAAGTTGGAAGCTCTGCTTTTGAATTTCACAAATCAAACCTCTTTTTAAAGGACGTGTTTCTAGAGCAGCTAAAGCTAGATGAACCAGAGCCTCTCTGTACAGAAAATAAGAATCTTACCATTAAGTTAACTTGATTTTTAAATAATCACAGAATTGATCCCCCAGAACGGTTTTGTTTGTCAAGTAACGCTCTCCCTTTCTCTCTCTCTTTTTAATGTATTGGTTTAAATTTATTCTATCACGAGATGCATAGATCTCCTTTACACAAAACTAATTCCAATCATTGTAGACATTTGGGATTTGTTTACAATGTAAAGCCACACTGGTTATGTGGCTAGCAAGCTGTATAAACTTAAAACTGAACTTTTAATGGGGCTGGTCCAGGATCTCCATTAACAGATTACTCTTAAGATAAGTAACTTAAAAAGACTCTTTGTCAAGTATATGTGAAAAAGACATTATTAGTGTAAGGAAATATATTGTTTCAGGGTTTTGGGAGGAGGGGTTTATTATTTACTTTTAATTGCTTGAAATTGTGTGTATATATATATATCTGATAATGTATTGCTCTTAGACATCTAAAATTAGAAAGTGTATAAATATTAGATGCATCACTGTTCTGATGTTGTTGCTGTTACAAACTATTGATAACACTAAGAATGTAACCTGCATTTTTCACTGAGCTTTCAATTAAAGCCCATTCAAAGAGAAACAAATGAGAGTCCAACAGATGTCTTGTTTCATGTCTGGTATTAAATTTCAAATGCCCTGTCCAATAGTATCCATTTTTTTTTTCTTGTATATAAAGGTACCACCAGCACTGATGACCACTAGTTAACCTGTCCAGGTCTTGACCACAATTTATCCATCTCACTTGGGAATCATACTGGCAGCAGCAAACAGTGTCGAGTTTCATATTGTGCCATAAAACAGTTGCTTCAATTGTTCGTCTTCTTACCAAACTACTCCTTTTCTTTCGACCTGTGAGATTTGTGTAAGAACTCTGCAGAATAGTAAACCCCGGTTTATAAATAGCAGTACCGGCCTTCTGTAGAACCGCGCTGAAACCGTAAGCACAGATAACGTCTTAGATTAGGATGTCATAGACTGACTTCTAAGTAAAAGTTAACGTAGAGTTGGGGTGGCTTAAATCAGTTCA